GCGTGTTGCTGAGGAGTCCCAAACTAGGCTGACGAAACAGCTGTCCAGTATTCCCAGGTGGTTTTCCAATGGTTTTCTAACTGATATCATTTCATGATGAAATCCTGTACTTATGATAGTTGCACTGCTGTATAAATGTGGAAGTCTATGTATCACCTGAGTCTGGTTCAACTTCGTTTAATAAAGTAAACAAACTGATATCCATTGAAAATCACCTTGAAATCAGTCAAATCACTATCGATCAAAAGTTAGTAATCCATAACAAAGTAAGTTTACTGATCTTGGGACAGTTTTATTGTCTACAGCATTGAATTCAATCTTCTATTTACTTTAATAATGAACAATTGAATAATATCGTTTCACTTAAAGGTGCAGGAGGAACGAATGAACATGTCAAAGCCAGCCAGAATCGGAAAGGCAAGATACGCCTTCATCAACCTGAAACCAGTCTGGTAATCTTCTGCACTCAGCATAAACAAAAAGATTCGGATTTTAAACACAAATGTGAAGTCAGTCAGTACTGCCATATAGATCAGAAACATAACGAGCGAGTCACGAAAAGCATTTCAACACAGGTCACTTCAGACTTTTATCAACAGCTGCCACTTTCGCTGTCTCCATATTGAAGATTAAATGGCCGGCCAGAAGGAATTAGCAACAAGGAACTCTTGCAACAAACCAACCAAGAGCCGATTGCTCAACAAATATGTAGGAGCAAATGGAGATGGATCGGACACACACTGAGGAGACCGTCGAATGACATCGTGAGCAATGCAGGCTATCACTCGAGTGGAATCCCAATGGGAAGCGACGAGTGGGTCGTCCTAGGGTGATATAGAAGATAAGAGGGATTATAGGCAATCGTGAACCCAGTTGAAGAGGACAGCAGAAAATAGAACAAAATGGAGATGTGTTGTTGAAGCCCTATGTTTCACTCGGAATCCAAGGGAATAATAAATAAATAAATAAAAAGGTGCGGTTAATGTGACGTCCTATTAGTTCAATTCTATAAATGACTTGATTGAATATATGAGCTCAGCTACAGTCCACTGATGCTTGAAACAATCCAAAATTAAAATAAACTATATCTAGGCGTAAAGCCAAAACTGACATTTCTTTTCTTTCCAGTTGAATAGAGTAATAATATCAGATAAATTTCGTTTTTTTTCTTCTTCATAAGATAAGCCTGTGATACTTGTTCATTTTCTACTTAACTTTTCAAAGAAAGTGAATTACTTACAGCTTAATTCATTTTTTATGGTGGTGAAATTTCTAACGTTGACTGTTAAGAATAAATGAATGAATATCTTTGTAATTTCTTTTAAATGTTAAGCCGCGATAACAGTAAATTCTTGTTTTCAGTTTTAAAAAAGTTCAATGTATCTTAGTTACAAACCGTAAATTGGTTTAATCTACCGTTTAACGTCACTGTCTGTTTTAAAATTTCTCTACAGTTCACTTAAATCTTATAAGATTTTTTTTAAATATATTTTTTCTTCTTTTATTTAGATTGTCAGATAGAGGAATTTGCTCAAACTGACTACAGGATAGTAACTAACTTCATGCATCAGTTGTCATTGATGTGAGTAAAGCTTGTCAAGAAAGCTACGGTCTGCAACATCTCAAAATAATTAACTGAATCAAAACAAGATCTAGTGTTTTGCGTTGACTAGTTAAGATCATGAATTGGAAAGTTTAAAGTCTCCGATATCAACCACAAGTATTAATTATACCGTCGAAATCATAAAGTTTAGCACTACGATGCTCCTACTTCAGGAAGCCTGTCCAAATTAAGTGTTCAAACTGATCACTGACTAATAACAAGCATTTTAGAAATATGGACTTTCTTCTCAAGAAGAATTAAACAACTGACGTAAACAATCTAATTCTGTATTGCATATTTCATTAATAGAGTTATATAAACACTTAGGACTTGAATATTATTTGTTTCGAAGATTAACTAGAAAGGTGCAGTTACAATTCACTATTTTCTCCTGATTAACACGCAGTCATATCACTCTTGTGTTCTGTATTTTTTAAATTTATGGTCACAAAAATCAATTCAGTCACGATAGACATCTGTTTTTCAATGCTGAAAGGATGAGCATATAACTTATCATCTACAGCTGCATATACTGTTTTATTCTCAAACTGAATCTTTATCAATTTATAATTTTCGTGTAAATAAATAATGACTCATGAGTCAATAAATGTGCGGTTTTTTTTCCTTCACGTTCCCCAGTGGAACATACGGCTTCAAGCTAGTGGCTTGAAGTTTCTGTAGCAGTGTTTATTTTACAGGATGGGGTTGCTAGCCCCATGCCCAACCTTTCCTCTTCATCAGCATTATTTCTGGCTTAGCGAGGTAAAGGAGTGCGTCGGCCGGGAATCGAACCCCGGACCATGTGCATGTTCGGCGAGCGTCCTAACCGCGTAACAAAGATTTATCACAAAGATGGTAATCATATTAACGAACTGTGTTAAATTATTGGCGGAAGTTCTGATAGATCAAAGCTCTGAAAATGTCTACATCCTATTCTGGTGAAGTAAGCTACAGACGAGTGAAACTATGATTGTCTGCACTGCTGTGATATGGTTGTTACCGCTACCTATTGACTGATGATAGTGATTTGAAAATGAGTGTTGATCAAAAGCATATTTTCTAACCTCCTCAAAGAAAAGATGGTATTCAACACACAAAAATGTCTAGCTGAATTTTCTGCACTTAGTTAGTATTTGTGAGACATAGATACAAATAAGATTTCAACCTGTTTGTAAGGCTTGTCTATGTAAAATGAGTTTGAAAACGTTCAAGATGAACTCACACATAAAAGAACTGATATAAACACAAAATGTTGTTAGGATATTCAAAAATATTAGATGAATTTATCCAAATTCTGGTCCACTTATAATTCCGTGTCTTTGAATAACTTAGCAACATGTCATTTACTTTCAGTCATATGATACAGTCAAAATTAAGGCTTGTCTAAATTAGTATGAGAAAATGTAGTTGAGATATTTGGTAACTGTACTGCTTGATGAACTGTACTCTCCCTACTTTTAATTTTAAATACCAAAGGAGAAACTAAAAGTACACTTTATGGTTGTATTTTTATGACTATGGTAGGAGACTTGTAATGTTATAATCATCAGTCTACCAATGAACCATAATTTAGTTGATTAGTTATTTACGTCATTATTATAAAATTATATAGAATCACATATGCCAAATGAACGTGAAACGTTAAAAATGTTAAAGCATTGCTGATAACAAAAGAACACCCATATCGTTTCAAACTATGGGGTCATGGTCTCAATGGGAACACCATCGCTCATGGAGAATGCAGGTATATTCAGATGACGAGTGCCAAATAGGACAAAATGAGAGTCCTCGACCCCACTACAAGTCACTACTAATCCAAAATAACTACGTTAATCCTTAGACACTGTCGAAGCATCCGTACTAAGAGCTAACATGACAACAGAAACTGAGCATTTCTGTCCAATATAATCAGTCAACAGGAAATACGAAATTAACCTGAAGAGATCACTCTGTTTAAAAACCTTTTCACTGAAGTTCGGTTGTTGCTCTAGGAACTTGATTTTTCGTGCTCGAGAACATCTCCCAGTATGGCTAAGTAAAGGTGTAGTGAAAACCATCAACAGTTCGATATTAGACCATCTGGTCCAAACGGGCCACAAAGCCAGCATTGAAGAATCCTTCCCTATTATCTACCCGGTGCCAAATAAATTGCTAAAAACATCGAAGTACCGCATGCTTCAAACAGCAGAGGCTATCACAATTCGCGTGAAACAACCGGTGATTTGTGTGCAAAAGAAGCAAGTCCAGCCACTACTACTGCCCTGGCCTACAGTAGAGACTATAAATTTATGAATTTGTATTATTATCTTCCCTAATTTTTCTGACATTCAGTTTATTGTTATGTTGATGCTATTGAACTGTAATCCATTGATATTATTATTGATTCAATGTTATCTAAACATTAATGTTGTTAATAACACTAATTCATTCACTATAATGTATATATATATAACTGTAGAACCTGATGATGAAGTTATCGAAAAGAGTATTCTTTGTTCAGTAACCATTCTTTTGAAAACGTAAGTTCATCAAGAAAAGTGAGCAATAGTAATATCTCCTGATACAGATTAGAATTTTTTTATTTTTACGGTATATATCATCACTAAATTAGCGAAAGAGTCATTACATTACTTTATAAGTAAACTTTACTTCACAACAGTCACTGGTTATTAAAATAATGAAATTGTAACAGTTATTCAGTCCTGTAATGGTAAAATAAACTGAACATCACAATGGTTCTAATCAATAGGAGAAATCTAAGGGAAGTCTAGAAAGTATCATTTCAACTATGGGAATTACAGATGAAGATATCAAAGGCAGGATCGAAAAAGTATGACATACCTTCATTGCTCTGTAATCAATGTGGAAATATATTGCACTCATCATGAATAAAATTCGGATCTTCTTTACTAATGTCAGGTTATTCCTTCTGTGTGGTTCAGAGACTTGGCGTGTCACTAAAAGCATCTCGAACATGCTCAAGACTTTCATCAGCCTCTGCCTTCGCTTCATACTGAAGATCAGATGGCCAGAAAGAATTAGCAACAAGAGACTGTGTCAGGCAACGAACCAAACCAACAAATATGCCACAGAAAATGAAGGTAGATTGAACACGTGCTCAGGAGACCGCTGACTGACATCACACACTAGACCCCTGGTTGGAACCCTAGTAGGAAACGAGTTGACCATTCTAGAGTGACATGGAGGAGTCCGTGTGACGAGAAGTTGAGAGCTGATGGGCAGTCATGGAACTACCTAAAGGGAACTGTGGAGAACAGAGTGAAATGGGGATGTGTTGTTGAAGCCTTATGTTCCACTGGGAATCCAAGGGAACAATAATAATAATATTGTAAAAAAAATTACTTGTCAAATAAATGTTAACAGAGTAGCTACTTACCTGTCTGAACTTGTTCTAACTGTTCCAGTACTTCATTGCATTGCTCCGTTTTATTATAATTGATCATTTTTTGCTTCGAATTATTTAACATTGATAAAACCCATGAGTTAGCCTGCATATAGATTATAAAGAAAGCTAAATTAATTGTGTATTCACAAAGTTATAAAAAGAAATAAACTTAATCGAATGTTGATTATCATGTATGGAAATCAAGAAGCTTCCTTTTAAACAAAATAGAAGAGCATACTGTAATTACGTATACCTGAAAACGATTGTGTTGAGTGACATATATCTGCTTTCAAGAATGCAGTCTAGAATGTAATTCTACAGATTATTCTATGCAGTTAAATTTGCTCTTCATAATTTTAGGTTGTTAAAGGAGAAAAAATGCCATTTATGAAAGTTGGACATCTATGAATAGGCAAAGTATTTAGGTATTCACGGAAAATATTTATCCAGACAGGTAACAGAAACAGTCGGCTTTTATAAAATGGCTGTCTAATGAATGCCATGTATCTCATCTATGTATCTATTCCTTTTTTAACGTTTCCAGTTATTTTTCCATCGGTGTCTTGAAATAATTCATAAACTGAAAACCAAGGAACACTGAACGGTTATTTTTTTCCTACTTTGGGGGCCCTCATCAGTGAGTATCATGACCACATCACGACTCGACCCCCTGGACTTTCAGGTTAAGAGGCCGGCTCGTTGACTATCCTGGCACTGAGTCATGAATTAAGAGAGCGTGTTAAACATGAAGAGTCAGACAACTAACTGTGTAGAGTGGTAATTTTCTTACCTTAGCAATACGATTTACTGTTCATTTTTATGACGAAAGAACATAAGTCCGTTAAAGAAAGATATAACTTAGAATTTGTTGTATTTTACCGTACATATCATGAAAAATCTTTGATCCATACTATTTAGAAATAAGTTTCACTAGTTTTTGTAGTGTACTATAATTCCTTTCAGATATGATTAAAAACTTAAATATTCAGCCACTTAAAGGTTATAAAATACTATCTGCTGAGGAATTACAGAAGTGAGATAAAATGTTTCACCGGCAATTAACCACTTTTATGAACTATTTGACTCACTCTGGCTACTGAAACCAGATGCTGAATCTCTTAGGAGTGGATCAGTTCCAAACTAAGTGTTTTCAGCAATTGACAACAGTTAGGGAGTCAAGTTCTGGACTATTAGGTTACCAGGGGAGCATTTTCGTGTTCGAACAGTAGGTTGGAATCCAGTGGTTTATTATTTGTTTTTGTTTTTTTCGTTAAATTGCTGTACTCAATCACGTCAGTCAGTTGCCACTGGTAAGTAACTAACCATAGACAACTGATAGCTACACAAGAAGGCTGTAGAATAAATTCCCAATGTGGTTGGTAATGAACCTACACTGCTGAAGGATCTCAAAGTAGAGATTGATTCTCAATATTAATTATAAATGATACCTGTATATGTTACCGAATCTACTGCAGTATATAATCATGCACTTTATCTTATGAAATGATCTGAATGAAATGATAGATCATTTTTCTTGAAGATTAAGACACTGTTGTGTTACTTCTAAGTTGATTTAAACAATTTTGTCAATTTTTCATTCCACCTGTTAACTTTTACTTCGATGAGGTGTAACCTAGTAAGCACTCATTGGTTAATAACTCAGTGATGAAAGATAGTACAATAATGTTGGTGCTGATCTTCTGATTTACAGAGCTGAATCTCATTTTCACTCCAATTTTTTTCGTAAGTCAACATCGGAGGACGACGAAGTCTCTGTTATTATTGAAACACATTTCTTTAAAAGCAGACATTTAAATAAGAACGAACAGTTAAGAGAAGAGTCTCTTTTGGGAGAATTCATTCACTTAGCTGTACAACCTCAGTTATATATTATGATTTTTGTATGTGTGTACATAGTACAATGATAAAAATTAGTTTAGGGTATTGTTTACATCATCAAAATATTTCAAAATAGTGACGAACAATTAAAATTGTAACAGATTTTCAATAGTTGCCACCCAGTCATCAAATTTGCAATTGAAGTACAGACTGAACAGCCAATCTTATTTCTGGGTGTTCGACTAACGAAGAAGCCTGATGGGACACTGATCAGATCAGTGTACAGAAAGCCTACGTGGAACAGCCAGTTGACAAATTTCTGCATCTGGGTACCCACAAATTGTAGGCAAAACTTGATGATATCGCTTGCAAAGACGATCTGAAAAATCCACAGTCCTGAGTCGACAGAAGAAAAGATTGCTTTTTCGACAAAGACACTTATTGAAAATATCTAGCCTTTACGATTCATAGACAAACACGTAAAACCCAAAACCAACAAAGAAAACCACATTTCTATGTTGAAGAAGATTCAACATGTGAATTTGGCGTTCAAAGGCAACCTTCTGGTAGAAACTAAAGAAAATATCGAACACCCTGAAAAAAATATTCCTCGCTTCTACATTATCTGGTATTCTCTTACCACCCATTGTTCTCCAATAACTTTGAAGATAAACTATCGTATTTGACCACTTCTACGGGTATCTACCAATTCAATTATTCCTGTGAAGCGAGATATATAGGTCATTCGATTCGTGTTTTATCTATAAGAGTCAAAAAACATCCCGCTTGGCTACAGAAGGGTAAAAATAGATCAGTAAGAAGTTCAACAAATGAACATATATCTAACATTGGTCACTCAGTATTCAAGAAGGATTCATTCTAAGTTATCAACAGAGTTAAAAGAAGCCCCCTGAAAACGGTACGCTTCCATATACTTTGCATTGCCGAGGTCTTGACGATTCAGATGGAAAACCCCAGTTTATGTACTCAGAAGGAACTTCTCCATCCCCTCCCTCTACCTTGGATATAATTCCAAGTTCATTCGTTATCACTATTTAGCTATTAAATACTAATTGTGCACTTTCCGTATGATATTTATCGTCATTTTCTAAACTGACCTTCTGTTTACTCCCCTCAACTACTACACAATTTATTTTTGATATTTTTCTCCATACCCTTCAATTAACATCCAATTTCTTCTGGACGTCTTTCAAATTACGCAAACTTAGTCTTAACTTACCAATCTTTACCCTCTAGTTACAAATTTGATTACTCATAGCCGCTTTGAAATATTCTGATGATGTAAGCAATACTCTAGACTCATTTTTAGTATTGAGCTATGTACACACATCCAAAAATAATTATGTATACTTGCGGTTGCACAGCTTAGTGAATGAATTCTCTCAAAAGAGACTCTTCTCTGAACTCCTCGTTCTTATTTTCATGTCTAGATGAGCACTTTTCGTGAATTAAAAACATATTTAAAGAATAAAATGATAAATATAATTGCATAAAAGTAAGCTGTAACAGTACACTTACATTTGTAAGTTGATTCAGATATTGTTCTCGAAATGTTTGCATAATACCTTGTAAATCAACTGAATTAGATTCAGATTCTCCAGTATCTTTGTTGAACGCATGCTCATCATCAATAGATCTACGTGTCAATTTACTTTCTGTTGCTATATGTTTTAAAAATGTTAGATTATTTAATTGATTGTTGAATTGTTCTGGTCGGACAACTTTCTGACAATTATTAGTAGACTGCATTCGATTCGAATTTAATAATGAATTCAAATAAATATCCATTGAATCGGAATTGTGCAATATTTTCTCACTAAATGAATGGAATTTAACGCCAAGATTTTAATTAATGAATGTTTAGAACTAATTGTTTATTTATTTATTTTATTTATCCTTAAAAAAATCCCCCTTCTGTATTATTCTCAGCCTTACAAATTGGGTTGGCTACATAATAATCACCACCACCAAACAATCACTAAATCCCTTAGATCCTATCCAACCCCTCCCCTTTCCCTCCTCCCTTTTCTATCCCTTCAACTAATAGATTTTGTTTTCACTTAGTGTAAATCATTCAACGTGTTAAGATTGAATTTCTTTTGTCAAAGTCTAAGGAATTTTAGCAGGTTAAAATGAATAAACCAATCAAATATTTTCTAGAAGATGAAAATTATTTCTTTCCCTGATTATCTTATTGGTTATAATTTATATTGCATAGGGATAACAACACAGCAAACGCCTTACTTTCTTCTCCTTACAAATATTAATTTATTTTCAATGAATGAATGAATGAGTGAGTGAATTTTAGCATTATTGATTGAACATTTAAGAAAACTCTATTGTGTAAAGGAATTTATTCTCAAGTATTGGTTTGTAGGGATTTGATTGACTGGTTACAGGATTTTATCATGAGCTGACATCGGTTAGAGAACTATTGGAAAACCAGCTGGGAGTACTGGACAGCTGTTTCGTCCTAGTTCGCCTTGTAACCAGAAGGTCCTGGGTTCAAACCCCGGGGGGGGGGGCGTAATGATGAAGAGTCTTAAACTAGGCTGACGAAACGGCTGTCCAGTACTCTCAGGAATTTATTCTCTCTGTTAGCTAATACGATACAAACTAGGGAGTAAATTTAGAAGCAGTTATAAAAAATCTTGTGACCAATCAACGTTTCTACTTTTGCTCATTAAACATGAAAGAGTTGTAGTAATTTTAGTGAATTTTCTAGATAGTTTAGAGAATCAATGGAAAGTAATACTTTAGCGAAAGTGTGATTTTTTTTTTTTTTGATTTACAGCTTGATTCCACACCGTATTTTCAGTACAAGTATGGAATTTTCAGCATGGATATCGGTTGCCCAAATTCAGGCATACCATAGATATCGGGTGTGCGCCGGCAGGGGATCGAACCCCGGACCATGTGCATGGTCGGCGAGAGTACTAACCACTGTGCCACCGACGCACAAAATACTCCGTCCGAAGACAGAGCTGAAAAAAATGAGATAAGACTCATTGTATTGTGCCTCCCCACGGAAATCTTTAGTAAAAGGCGAAAGATTTATCCGCAAATGAGGAGACACCAGAGTTCTTATCATAACCAGGATAGTAAGCCGAAATTTCTATTTTCAGTTGTTAGGTTTTCGTTTTGGAACCAACATCAGTTAGAGAGACCATTGGAAACCAGGGTGTACTGGACAGGTGTTTCGTCCTATTTTCGGGGCTCTTCAGCAGCGCATATCTATGACTCTGTCAGGGATCTAACAGTTGAAATTAATTCAAAATCTCCACAAATACTATAACCTGAATATCACTCACCAACTCACTAATGGCTACTGAATGGATTTCTTAAACCGGCCGTGGGAATTTTTGACTAGTTGGATCAATCATTTCCAGGGCGGGGGGAAGTGGATTCTCATAGAAGGCATTGGTAAGGGAAGCACTATATCACGAGTTGACAAAGTAAGAATTCACAGGTTACTGAATTCCAGCCCCCTAGGTGACTGAATGGTGAACGAGCTTAGGCTTGTAACCTGAAGGTTTCGTAGTCTGGTGAGGTCGTGGAAATCCATTCAGTAGCCATCAGTGAGTTGGTGATTGATGTTCAGATTGTAGGGTTTGTGGGGATTTCGGATTAATTTCAACAGTTATAATCCTGGCGGGTTCATGGCTGCTCGCCGCCGAAGAGCCCCAGAATAGGATGAAATAGCTGTCCAGTGCTCCCTGGGTTTCAATGATCTCTCGAACTGATGTTGGTTGATGACACAAATCTAACAATTAAAATTTACCTAATATCCCCACAAATCCTGCTTTGGTTTTAGAATATATCCTTGAAACATATGAGATAAAAAATTTCTGGAAGGTGTTAACTTTAGCAATTTTTCAGAATGGATTGCTCTGCAAGCACAGGTTATTACTGGAGTAATACCCATTACATATTATACAACTGTAATATTTCAAATATCTTAACGAACATAACGATGACAATTTATCAAAAGTTAACTTCTACTGACTTATACGACTGCAAACAGTTGATAAGTCCACCTGAATCATCAGTACAATAAGTTAATTAAACACACGTACTTTAAGATTTCCACTCTACTACCAATTGTTATTTTCTGAAAGTATTTAGGAGTTAGATCATTAGTGCACCAAATGTAGACGTTTTCACTGTATTGACATTATCCGTAAAGTAACGTCGGCAGTTAACATTGACAGAAGTTGTTTATTGGATAAACCACACACTGAAACAGTATTATTACCTGGATGACGTTTCAAACACAATTTTTTTATTGATAAACATACCAAGTGATTTCACAATTGTAAAATAATTGTAAATAATACTGTTTCATTGTATCATATTAACACGAAATTACATGCTACCATAATGTCCAGGCTTAATACATGACAATAATGTATAAGTTTTATGTTAATCTACTGTTTGACTGAAAAGATGACTAACTACGCCCACATCATTTAACAAAAAAAAATTATGAATCAAAATCATGAAAAACTGTTAGTTTGGCGTGTGCTACTGACAAGATATATCAGTAGTGTATAAAGAGATGCTCATCGTCATAAAAAATATCAAATAGCTGAGAGATAGATTTGACGTCAAAGAGAGGAAATGATTCAGCGTTGTGGCAAAACATGGGAAACACGAGTAGAGGAAAAAGAAACACACTACGAGGCGTAGAAGTAGCACAACATGGAAGATCTGTGCAAATGACGATTTTGAGATAAGCCGTACATAGTTTCGCTATATAGAGATACCAAATTCCAAATACACATTCCTATACCAAGTCTGTAGTCTTGCCAACAAACTTTTCCGATGTTGTAGTCCATTTTTTATTTAGTTGACGATATTATGCAGTAATACCAGTAATTTCAAAAATTTACGCATACATGGATATTAGCCAAGTTTAATGGTGTCCTGTTGAAAATAATCATCAAAATTATTTAATATTTAATGCTGCTATAATATATGGAAAATTCTTGATAAAGGCATTTAATTGGTTTGAATTTTAAGAGTATTTCGCAGTAAATGAGTTGGATATAATGTACTGATTTATAAGTAGTGGAGAATATGTGAACTAAGTACTGAAGTTACTCATTCAAAGTTGTAAATCAAATGACAGTAAAAGCTACTTTCAAGATAAATAACCATGTAATCCTCTTTGATTTTCGATGGCTGTTTATAATTATTCATTATTTTTATTTGGGTTCCGAGTGGAACATAGGCCTTCAACATCATATGTCCATTTCATCCTGTTCCCTGAAGCCCTCTTTAGCTGGCCCCATGATTCCCTTTAAGCTTTCATCTCCTCCTTACACGATCTCCTCTATGTCACCGTTGAACTGCCAACTCATCGTTTCCCGTCCAGGTTCCACTCAAGGACGTGGCGTGTGTTCTATCCATCTCCATTTTCTCTACACATATTTGTTGAGCAATAGGTTCTTAATTGGTTCGTTTCTAGAGTTTCTTGTTGCTAATTCTTTCTGACCGGCTATCTGATCTTCAATATGAAGCCAGAGAAGGTAGCTGCTGATAAAAGTCTTCAGTAGCCTGTTGGAAATGCTTTTCATGGCACGCAGTACAAGTTTCTGAACCATATCAAAGAACTGATTGAACATTCACTGGCGTTCGAAATCAGAATTTTGTTGTTTGTGCTGGGTTCAGAAGACTTCTAAACTGATTTCAGATTGATGAAGGTGTACCCTGCATTCCAGTTCCGGTTTTGACATCGCCATCCGAGCCGTCTCCTATAGTTGAAACGATGCTCCCTAGATAATTGGAGGAAGTTACCTCTTTCAAATTTCTTCCGCTGACAGTGATTGGTGCTTGTTGTTGGTCTGTTATCTTCATCACCTCTGTCTTCTTTAGGTTCCCTTGAGGTCCTGTCTTCTCTGCTTTTTAAGCCAGTTTGCTGGTTTTCACCTGTAGATCTTCGAATTTATGTGACATTGGACATAAATCGTTCACGACGTCCAGATCTTCAACAGTCTTCTTATAGGTTCAAAATACTTCTGTCTTCTCATTCCTCACTCACGGTGTGCTACACAATCCAGTCCACAACAATTAGGAATATCATCGCTGATAGTAGGCAGCCTTGTCTTACTCCTATCTTCACTTTAAAGACTTCGCTAAGTTTTCTGTTGTGAATCATTTGAAATATGGCATGGCTGTTCAGTTTCACATGAATTCATGACTCCATCTACCTTGAAATCAACCGAATCTTCACAAATCTAACAGGTCATTCACATCAAATATTGCTCTATGTTACCACTAAAGGAGCAGTTGATGCTTTACAACTTGTACTGAATGTTGTATTTTATTTGAATTTCTTCTTCATACTACTATCAAGTTGTTCATAAGACTTAGAAATAAGACAGTCTGAAGAAATAAGATCAAAATGGCAGAATTAAAAATACAAAGTCAAATATCAGTCAGACTTTCCTAAAACTTTCCTTAAAAGTTGATGTTTCAAGCAGATGGAGGTTATTTAACCTTGACTATCCAATATTCCGAAATGAAATTACTTTAAAAATTCATTCTCCAGCGGAAAATGTTTAGCTTGGTTAACCAGTGTCATCAGAATAACACCCCGGATGGAATGAATACACTTAAAACAGTTGTGTCAGATTTTTAAGTTTTATACTCAACATTACAAATCACCTTAAATATTTTCAGTGAAATGTGGTTGAACAGTACAGTTTCCCTATGTAAGGTACAACTAAACCAAGTGTATTTGAGAAACACTGTTAACTGCTCAATAAAACCATAAAAAAGGTGCACACTGATACAAGAGTAAAACGTGGAGACCATAATAGAGTCTGACTTCATTTATTTGGTGTAGCACATGATACGGTATCATTTACTGGATGACTTTTCGCTCACAATTTTAAAAGAATGGCTTTCAGTTCTTCTTATCATTAATAAAAAGTATCAGTGTATTGGTAAACTTTAAAAGCACTACTACCACAGTTGAAGACTATTTAACTGCATGTGAATCCAAGAATTAAATAGTGCGTATTTTGAAAGATTCTGCATTCTGCAATAACTT